AAGCATGTTGTAAAGAGCTTCAAAGGAGGGTAGCTCAGGGCTTGTGGTAACTAATGTAATCAACGAAGCATAATCAATACCAAGACCATCCAATGCATAGAAAATCAGGTTCTTTTATGAGACCGATTGTCGTATGGCTGCCAATTCATCTACAAGAGCTTTAATTTTCTCCATATACTCAAAAATAGTGAGAGAACATTTGTGAATGTTAGAGAGTTTATGTTTGCCTTATACAATCGGGCATTAGTTTGTGAAGTAAACACCCTTTCAAGGGCCTGCTATGTATCACATGCAATTGTGTACCCAACCACTTGAGCGAAGATCGCTGGAGTAATAGTTGCATGAAGCTAACTGAGAAGCAGTTGATCTCTTTTTTCCAAGCAATATACTCAGGATTTAGAGCAAGCATCTTTTCACCTGATTCGTTGACGCTCTCAATATGCTCCTTTGGAGGAACAAAAGTTCCATCTACAAAAGGAAGCATATCAGTGCTATAAAGTATTGGTAGCAACTGACTCTTCCATATCAGATAGTCGTTACGATCTAATTTGATCGTGAAATGGGAGAAATTAGGCAGTCTAGGCACAAATGGTGCAATATCCTCAGTCTTGGTACTAGAGACTGTGTTTGATGCCATTGTAAATGGTGCAAAAGAGAGAAATAACTTTGGTAGCCATAACCTAAAAATCAAGAGAATGATGAATAAACATTGAATAAGATAAGAGAGAGAGGCGGTGGTTATAAGAGGAAGTCCAAGTACAAAGAGAGAGAGATGGTGTTTATAAGAAGAACTTCAAGTATAGAGAGAGAGACGGCGGTTAATGTTTTGGGTTGTTGGTGGTGGGACACGTAACTAAATGGCAATAAAAAAAATTATCGATAGAGAGAGAGAATGAAAAAAGAGAGAGATAAAGAGGCTACCACCAAAATAGGGAAGCTCTCAAGAGAAAGCAGCATCAATGTCGAAGGCCAAGGTCTATTGCTCTGATACATGAAGAGAATTGTAATTATCCCTTAATTAATTGAGTGGTACAACAATGATATATATAACATGATACGACAACAACTTGATAAGGATCCTTGACTGAGTAAATAAAAGATATGTGTAACAATCAATATTTACAACAAACCAAGATAAGTCAAAGATATGTTAACCACTCAAAAATCTCTTTCAAATTCAAATACACTTTCTCTCAACACCAGTAATAAGACCATTAAGTCATAAATTTATGAAAATTATGAATTACAAAAAGTGAAAAAACATAGTCAGACACTTAAATGTACTATGTGTTAGTTTAAACTACCTATAGATTTTAATTTTTGATCCATCACTCTTTTAAATTCTTCATTTCTTGGAACTTTCCTAATGCTTTTGAAGAATCTTGCATATTTTCTATCAAGAAATAGAGTTTTGGAAACTGATACTAAACTTTGCTTAAAGATTTTGAAAAATGAAACCAAGTCTTTGGTATGGGAGAACCCCACCAAGGATTGGGCCTCAACTGGCTCGCATATGCTTGGGCAAGATCCTCACAATAGACCAACCACGTTGCTAGGTCACTAGACCTTGAATTAGTGTTGTGGTCTTTCTCATGTACCGAATAGCAGGTAGTGCCTCTCACAAACAGAGGCTTATCTATTATAGAAATCGAGTTGTCCTTTTCTTTCTTTTTCTCTTTTTTTTTCTTTTTCTCCTTTTTTTTTTTAGGATGTTAACTTTGGATAAGTAGGACTGGAAGTTTATTTCTTCAAAATGTTGAGTTTAATTGGAACTCTCAACATCACGTTGTAGCTCCGCTTGCGTAACCACTCTTCAACCATTCTTCCAAGTGGAAGAATCGCGGTCCCTGTTTTAACCTGATCTTAACTCTATGGGGATCTTTGGAGAGAATGGAAATCTATAATCTTCAAAGTCCCAAGTTCCAACATTGTCAATTACTCAAATGTAGATATTCGCAACATGGTTATCAAAGTTCTGAAATTGTCAATTTTGGAACTGAGTTCTTATTTTGGACCGTTTCTTTCAATTTCTTCAAAAATCACTAGATATATTGTATTTGGATATCTAAGTTTATGGATCCATCCAGAAATTGTTTTGCAATGATATAGAATGTGTTTTGGACCCTAAACCTCTTGGAAACCAATTTGGGGTATGGTTCAGTAAGCTGACTCACAAAAAGCTTTTCATTCATTAAAGAATCCACAATATATTTAGCAGTTTTTGAATCAATAACACTGGTCAAGTACTCAGCCCATGCACTAGCCAAGTACTCAACCTGAGTTTGAGTAACTAACCCCGAGTTGGGCTGAGCATTGTAGTAGAAAAAAGGAGTTAAATTTTAAAAAAAAAATCAAAAACTAGGAATATGTTTAAAGTAAGATTAAACCAAACACATTTAAATGAGGTTAAAAAAGAACTAAAAAGTTAGATTATGAAATATTAATTTGTGTCCAGAGGTATTTTCAAAATATTTTAAAAAAAATAAAAAAATGTAAAAATAACTATTCATGGTAAAAAAATATTTCCAATCTTTACCAAAATGATACAACACATAAATAAACATATTACAATTTTTTTGAATTTTTTATAAATTTTTTTGAATTTTTTTAAGATCCCCCAGTTGGACATGCAACTCTTCCGCCTCCAAGACATCAGTCCAAGCTGACTCGCCACTTACATGTAGTCGTAATAGACGGCAATTTGATCAATTGGATACCATGGGCCGGCAGAATTGTCCACCCCTCGTATGTACTTTTACGAGCCAATGGTCTTGCAACGGTCTTGAATTGGTCATTGTCTCGCATTAGAAGGAATTAAATATTTGACTCGGCCCTATGTACCCACAAGGCCACAAGGGATTTCGGCACCATAGCACAGGCCAAGGTTTTAAAAGATGGACCATGACTCATCATCCATTCAGAAAATTGGTCCAGATTGACGATGGTCCAGATTGACGATGTGGCCGAATGAACTAGTCAAAAAAAATTTAAAAAAATAGATAATAAATTTTTTTAAAAAAATTTGAAAAAATAAAGTGTGACTACTTCTCAATATTTTGCTAGAACGAGACCGGCCTTGACAATTTCTGACTTGAAGTGGCTCATTCGTTGATTTTTAAAACTTAAAGCCAAATTGTAGAGTTAACTTCCCATATCAATATTTTGTAGGAAAATATTAATTAAATGGTCAAACTATCTTGCAAAATCAACGAGGCATCGTTCGATTATCTAGCTAAGATTGGGATTACCCGCCACCACCATTGCCATTATTCCACCATCACTACCACTTCAGCACCACCCCACCACAACCACCACCACAATCGCATCATACCATAACTATTATCGTACTATAACCCTATTATCACACAATCACCACCATCACCACCATGTAATAACAATTTATAACTCAATTTGTATCAATCAAACATTCATAGAAAATAAAGGACAATTGACCAAATTTCCATTTAATCAACCACAAATTTAAAAAACACCACAGAATTGTACAATCAGAAATTTAAAAAACACCCCAAAATTGTGCAATCTAATGGCCCATCAATAAGTTTTGAGATTATCTACAAAGATACCATTTATCTTTTGTACAAGGAGGTCATAAATCCGAATTTAAAAAAAAAACTTTTTGTATATTCGATGACACTATGGCAATCACCCATTTTGAAATTTAAGAGACATGCGTAGAGGCTTAGTAGAAAAGTCACTATTGCAACCACCTTGATCATATACGCAATGAGAAATTTAATAGTCACTCTTCTATTTCTTCTTAGAAACTATAGAGGTTAGTAGAAATGACTATGGTGACTGAGTGAAACAATTTCCTCTGCTCTCTTTTGCTTTTTTGTTTTTTCATTTTACTTTTCATACAGTCACTGAAAAACTAGTTAACATTCAAAAAAAAAAGGTAAAACCACTGCTTTTGAAGCTCCAGTTTCATGGATTTGAGGCAGAAATGGATTGCAGTGATTGTGATGTGTTTTGTTCTAACGTCCTTAAAATTCGACATACATGTTGCTTGTTAATGTTAAAAGAAAATAAAAGATTTACCAGTCGCTGACTCACGAAATACTTTAATTTAATCTAATAATATATTCACATTATACGCTATCAATGCATATAGACAATAAATAGAGAAATAAAACTACAAGAAAAAATGCAACATAAATTTTAGTTCAACATTGAAATGTATCCCACCACATTTGTACCCTTACTGAGTGTGACTCCTTTCTCAGGCCTAATTTTTCGAAGAGACTCTTTCCAATACTTTTGAGTCATTCAAATGCTTGGCCAATGAATATGGGAACCCCTTTATAATTCCTTCCGCACAAAACAAAGAATTTAATTTGAGAATATATAAGAGGAAACAAGTGCCTTATAAACATGTTGAAATCAGCACTTACATTCAATATCTATCATACTCCGATGCAACCCTAAAACAAAATCCATAAGCTTTCCTCAAAAGCTAATATTTTCTCCATGCACTGAGTACAATTAATGGCACTTTGGGTCACTTTACACACCACTTCTTATTTAATCTCCCAATCAATCTCAAAAATCCCATTTCATATGTTACTTGCTATAGTAAATGGCATTAAGGGCCTCTTTACATACCATTTCTTATTTGATCTCAAAAAATCCCAATACAAATCAATCAATTAGTATATAATCCCAACTCAAATGAAACAATAATCAGTATTAATTCAATGAATAATAAAACTCCTTTGATTCCATCCACTACCATGCCAAGCCATAGAATTGGAAATCCCACCATTACTTGAATAAAGAGGAGGAGAAATGTTCAAAGAAGCAGCAAAAGGATCCCCTTTAATCCCCTTATTGCCTGCATTCAAAACATAATTACCATAAGTAACCCCATTTTCCAATTGAATCATTTCAGGAGCATGGGCAAATTCGTCATTGAAAACCACCCATTTCTGTGTAACAATTGTCTTGGACTGCTTCTCCTGTCTTTCTCTCTCTTGCTTCCCATGTTCCAGATTTGGACCTGTGCTCAAACCCACATTGTGATTTTCATATCCATTATGAACCACCAGCTGCTTCTCCTTTTCTCTTTCTCCTCTTCCTCTTTCTCTCTCTACTCTCCCCTTCTCCACATTTGAATCTCTGAAACCCACATTGCTGTTTTCAATGGGGAAACCATACACAATTTGCTCGAGGTCACGAATGTCCTGTTCTGGTATTTTCTCAACACTTGGAAATTCGGTGGCATTCAGAACACCCATCTCTCTGGAAATATTGAAATATGAAGTGAGATGAGTGCTCTGATCAGAAGCTTTTTTAAGGATTTTCAGAGCAAAAAAGGCTTCTCTTTTATTTGCCTCGAAAATCCCGATCAAAACCCTGGCTACCCCATTGCAGATATTGCTATAAACATCGAAGATCTCTATAACAACACAATCCATGGCTTCCAAAACCAGTTTCTGGTTCATTCCATTGCCATAAGGTCTAATTTGCAGGAGAAGGTCTAGTAATGCCTGGGATCGTTGTAATTTTGAAAGAACTGTCTCCATTTCTGTTTCTCCTTCTACCCCATTTTCTCTTTCACCACCAGAAATCCCCCTTTCTCTCTCTAAACCAGAGAACCCACTTTCTCTCTCTAAACCAGAGAACCCACTTTCTCCACCTAAACCAGAGAACCCACTTCCTCTCTCTAATGAAAACTCATTGAGGAAGCAGGATTTCTCATCGAGGAAAAAGAAATAGGCACGAACAAAAGCGCTGAGGCCCCATGAGAGAGAAGACTTGATGCATGTGTCATGGAAAGAGGAGAGATCAAATGGGAGCCGTCCGATCCTGCTGAGATAGGGAGATTTTGAGCAAAAGACGCCATGAATGAGCAATAAACCTTTGAGAGCCACAACCCAACTTCGAGTTTTTTGCAACCTTTTAGAGAGAGAGATGAGGAGAGGAGAGAGAAAGGAAGGGGAGGTTCGAGCCCATGCAAAAACTCTGTGTGAGTTTTTGTAATCGATACAGGAGGAGTCGTGGCTTGTGGCTTTGATAATGGCGGCCTCGAGGTCAGGGTGGGTGAGGCCTCGCCTTCTGATCACCCTTGCCATATAGATGCTTCGCTTGTCTTTCATGGCGTCAGCTGCTCTCTTGAGGATCTTCATCTCTCTCTAAACACACAGATATCTGCAAATGCCCAAGATGTTGGAGCTCCCTCTCTCTCTCTCTCTCTCTCTCTCTCTCTCTCTCTAAGAACTTGTAAATCAGATTTTTCTCTCACCTCAAATCCCCAATTACATAGGAATCTCAGTTTCTCTCTAAACGAGTATCTCTCTATACAAATGCCCGAGAGTACAGGGCTTTCTCTCTCTACAGAAACCAGAAATTTCTCAGAACTCACAAGAACCCAGGTGCAATGAACTCTCTAAACGCCTCTATCTTTTCTTCTTGTTTTTCCTTGTTCAACGTCTCTCTCTCTCTCTAATTCTCTCTCTCTCTATCTTTTCGTCTTTTTGACTTGTCGTTGAACGTTCAGGAATTGGAAGGCAAAGCGCGTTGTTTGCAAATTGCAATGCGTGGGTGGCGTTATTACGCGTCGCACACCAAACGCCTGCCTTTTTCTTTTGCCTTTTTCTCTCTCTGAATTTTAATTTCTTCATTTGAGAATGACTAAAATGCCCTTATATTTGTGTGTCCGGTTGAGATGGCCCCAATCATAATATTATGTTTAAATATTATTTTCTTTTAATTTTTAAAAATTAATATTTACATTAAATTTAGAGCATCCAATCCTCACTTAAGCTTGAACTAAAAATATAAAAAGTATTATTGACATAATAAAACAACTAAAATATTTTAAAAATTTAGAGGTAATTTGTTCATTTTATTTTATCAAGAATACTTCTATATTTTTTTTGTAGATGGGTCTCGTTGAGATGATGACACACACTAAATTTTTTATTTATATAATTTGTTAAAAAATAGACATCATATCAAAATCAAACGATCAATAAAATTCGCCCCACCCATCCATTTAGATCGGACCTCGAAAACACGATGGCATACACAAATTTCCTAGACCTAGTGATGTATAAAAAACCTTTCCCCAACCTAAATACCACTATCCTTTTTAAGCAATTAGCCGTTAAATTTGTGTAACGTTCAAATTGTGTATATGACCTCTGTACCCTTTAAATTTTTCAGAGGAAAATGGCTAAAATGCCCCTTCACTTATTTCCAATGCCAAAATACTCTTTTATCTTTTTTGAGCAATTAGCCGTAAAAATTAAGTATATTGCCTTTCTACTCTTTGTATTCAACTTCTCTAGAAGTTGGATTTTAAGTGGAGATTCTAAAAGTTCTTCAATTCATCTGAATAAATTATTATCAACATGAGCTGGTTCAAATTATGTATTGATTTTTTCATAACTAGTAGATCCATTAAAGTACTAAAAATATCTTTTTTTTCTTTTTCTATTAGCAAATATTAAAAACATGCTATCGTGGTGAAGATATTGCCTCTATCTGAGCTCATTTACATGCGGAAGCATCATTAAATTGAAAATAGAGGCACCAATTAATGTACATAAAATAGAAAAATATGCAATAAGATCGTTTATTTTTTGTGCAAGAAAGTCATAATCATTTGCAGGTGTAAGACATGAAATTCTTCAGTTGGTGAGTGTTATTAACCGTACTTAAAGACCATATTTTGTTTTTCTTTCAAATTTTGTGATACATCCCTAGCTCCTTAAATTCAATCTAACGGCTACGAGTGATTGTGACATCTATTTTTTAAAAGAAACAATAGTTTTACGCTATACAATCCCCCTTAAAATATAGTATATGTACACTTAAAATTATGTATAAAACTCAAAGTATAAGTGTACAAAGTACTTGCATGGAATTGGGGATCTTTGTCGACTGAATTACAATTAGAATAAGAAAAATAACATAATGCTATTACTTAACATGTCTATTTACTCAACAGATTCAGATTTGGGCCTATGGTAGTATGGGTTTGTCCACAAACATGCCAAGAAGGACCTCAGACGTCATCTTAGTCTCCCAAACATACTGACAATTGGTAAAATTATTTGGAAAATAGTTGGAGCTGCTACTCTTTGGGAAAATAGAAGGCTGTGTTTCGAAGTGCAGAGGATATAAAAAGCAGAATTTTGGATACTTCATTTATTGAAGTTCACTAAAGTTGGTGGCTTAATTAGGGATCATGATGGTAATGGCATAATAACTTACTAGGGGCCATGCGGACAAATATATTTAAATGAGGCTGAACTGTGTGGGTTGTTGCGATTATTGAAGTTAATCATTGGATTACATAGTGGTAATGCGATTATGGTGGTGGGAAACTTTTTGAATGTTAATCGATGGTGCCGTAAAGAACAAAAAAAATTCCTTCAAAGCTGATATCGATATGGATTCAGATTATGGATATCATGGTTTCTTCCGAGTTTTTTTTCTTTTATGTCTATATGGGGGTGAAGCAGAAAGCATATTAGTTGCCGGGCATTACTCTCCTTGATCTCTTAGTTGTTTCTATGACTATGTGGTTCTTTCTTTCTTTCTTTCTTTTTTTTCTTTTTCGCACTCATCTGATGTATTCCACATTTATTAATAAATGAAATAAATTTTGTCAAAAAAAATAACGAAATGCTGGGACATGCTTCAATATTTGCCACTAGAGGTATTTAGGATTGTCTTGTCAATAAATACCGACATGTGGGGCAATTGTGAAATCAAATTGGAGGTTTTTTTTTTTATATTGGAAGTAAATAAAAGTGGTAAAGTTGGCGGGAATTTGGGTATATATTCTTTGTGAGAATGAAGTCAGAGACCTCATCATAGGACTTAACAATACTTCAGGCCAATTGAAGCTCTTAAGTCATTATAATAAGAGCGTGGTTTGTATAGAGCCGAGGCTCAAAATAATCAAATTGGAGCCCACCTTCAAAAGGTGTTGAGAAATGCGGTTTCAATTCTAAAAATCTTTGTGACAGCCTTAAAATATATTTCCATCTTTAATTATAAAATCTAAAGCTTCAAACATAGTGTAGATCGAGCATATTTATGAAAACTTGAAAATCTTAAAAATTAACGGTCCAAAAATGTGTCATAAGATGCACTATTTTCAAAACTTGAAATCCATATTTTTCTCATGTTTATGCATCTTGACATCGAGATGATCAATTTGACGATATTTGATCATCAAAACAACTTCATCTAGTGAAGTTTTTGAAGTAAGTCAAGCTTTAATTTTAATTTAACTGCTTAGAGCCTCGGCTCTATATAAACTCTGTCCTTACAATAAAGGTCGGGGCCTCTTTGTTAAGTTCTCCCTATTTGGCCTAACGAAAATTTAAAATGGATTACAGTAAACCTGAAGTTTCAGAAATAACTATAATGCCCTTTCCATTTAAGAACACCTTTAACGGTCTCATTTTCTTCCATTAGCCTCACACCACATGAAATAAGCATGGACCACGTATATTGTGTTTCTAGGGTGTACAGTTTATTTTTACTCCTTTGGTTAGAAGATTTATTTTGAAGATTTTTCATTCAGAAATTTTGGGAACTATCTATGAATCACTAGATGATCATTTTAAAAAGAAAAACTTGAAATTTGAGTATTCTAACGCAAATCTAACCATTTAGAGATTGGATGGCCTCTATTCAATCTCTAGATATAGTTTTTTTAAGTTCATAGAGGGTGTAATTAGGAAATTTCCTGAGATTAATCTTACTGGTTAACATCCTTGAAATTTGATGTCCTAAAATTAATTTGGAGTGGGGTTTTATTCAAGAGTGTAAATAGACGATATACTCTCACGGGAGTACAATATCATTTACGAGGTCGAGTTTGAGGAACTTTATCCCATTTGTGCACTATGTGTATTGTTGTCAAGACCTTACTAGGTTCATTTGTGTTGATGTCTTGACTGGTTTAGTCTGAGAAGAAAAAATATATATATATGAAATTTAGTCAAAATTATTGCTCAAAATTAATGTTTAACTGGTTAATTATTTTAACCGAGTTGGAAGGACTAAACTATGGCTAGATGATTTTTTTACTATATTTCATTTTTCTAGAACTAATTTCCCTTTTTTATTTGTTAATTCTAGTCCAATTGATTTGGATGAGAGTAGGACCGACTTGTTTGGATTAGACTTCTCAGTTTGGTGCCAATTCTGTTGTGAGAATATTGCTCTAAAGCAATATGAAGTTCAAGTGTCTTAACACACTTGTAGAGTGTGTGTGTGAAGAAATCCAACCATCGATTTGGATAAGATGGTGAGGAGTAAATCGATAATGGTGTTACACATTAATATAACCTGATAAGCTCAGCAAACACTACCCTGCCACACATCTATTGCCTCAGTTTCAATCATTTAATAAAAATTTAATTGTTGTGGCTCTCTCAATACCTATCGAATTAGAAAAAGTATATAAGAAGATCATTTATTTTTAGTACAAAGGGGTCACAAATACTCATGATACTCATGTCCATAAGATCTCAAATCAGATGGTTGTAAGAGTATCATTGACTAGACTAAAAATTCAAAAAAATATATATATCTCGAACTTCATGACGTGTTCATACCATGTAATTTGACAGCTAATGAGTAGTACTTATGACCTCTTTGTAACATAAATAAATGACCTCATAATATATAATCCCGATTATAGGATATTTGTGGGTCAAGAAACATAAATGAATTTCTCAATTCAAAAAGTGAAAGTTTGTCAATTTGTCTATTGTATTTTTCAAGTACTATTATTTTGGTTTGGACGTACCCGAGAGGAGGACTAAAAAGTAAAAAGAAAGAAGACAAATGCTATCTTAAGAGGACTAAGTCAGGATATGACAGCATATTGTAGTTACTAACGCTAGGCCTCCTATTGTTTGTAGTTTCACTTCACATTTATTAAGTAATAATTAAAGGTAGGACGCGTCTTCGGAGAATAGTTCTTTATTGTAAATAGACCTACATAAAGGGAGATTTTAGGGTGAAGGAATTTAGGTTTAGAGAGAGCTTGGTGCATAAATTTTATTTTCCAAAATGAAGTTTAGAGAAAGATCCTAGAATAAAGACTTAAAAAAAAAAAAAAAATAATTAAGATTAGATAATGGTAATAGGGAGAGATTATGGGATATAATTTCTTGGAGAGATAGGAAGTTTACTTAAATCGAGGGTAACATCTCAAACCACATCCAAGAGGTTAACTATTAAATATTCAATTATTCCATTTGCCCACCTTTAAAAAGTCTATCATGGCACACATTATAAGATTCCAAGTATTGCATTTGCCAACCTTTACTAAAGGCACGTTTTGAAATGTATCATGTAGTTAGTTGTAGGAATATTTTCATATAAAAAGATGTATTGGGATTAATTAATGTGAAAATGTTCTTATATTTAATCATATGAGGGAATTCTTTCACTTAAAAATATTTTTCTGAAAAAACACATGTCTTAACTATTCCAAATAAACTATAGG